TATTCAAATGATACTTGATACTTTTGATCGATAGTGTTCGGCGGAATGCGCAGGCTTAAGGAAACTGTAAACTACTAGCCGTAATCCGAGTTCGTCTTGACTTTCGTGCAAGATCGTGTTTCCTCCAAATCACATACAACTAACTGCTTCCTGTGAGGTAAGCTGGATAGTCATAACTGGCACAAGTTCCAAAATATACAACTTTTATCATTGTTTTCAAGCTGTCCAAGCATCTGGCTCGAAGATTCGACAATCATCCAAAGTTAGCGGTAGACAGTCTGTCTCTCAGTTCCACATGTGTCCAACTAGACGTCACGTAGCACATCACTTCAATTTTTTAGGACCTAAGTTGACCAGCTTTTAATAAGTGTAGTAATGAGTCGTTCACCTCTTCCGCTGCTCACCATACATTGATGAGATATAAGCATCAATCGACCTGGCGGAAATTGGACCTTTTTTTAGCCTGAGCGCATTTTCGCCCGGTGCGTTGCATTCACGGATGCAAGTCATTAAGATCACACTGTAATTGCATTCAAACAGAGTTGTTAGCTCCAGTTGAACACATTATTGATAAGATTCGGCTGGTGGGTGCGGTAGACAACTCCAGCAGCATGTGGACATTTTTCCATCCAGAAAGCAAACTGTTGTATTGCTTCGGTGCATTGTTTCGTATAAAGAACGGATAATACAGTTTATCTCTGTTTGTCATTCAAATATTACTTACTTTACTGCGGCTAGCTCCTTGAATAGGATAAGCCGGCTCCAGATATGATCATGAAGTTCCTTGGGAGTTTGATACGATAGACGTCCCCAGCGTCACTCGGTGTTTTTTATTTTGAAGGCGCACCTCTAGCCTTTGCACAACCAAGTGCGAAATGCAAGGCAACAGGAAGTAATCCCTCGCCTCGGAAATGAGGGGGTCAATGAATTTCGTTTTAAAAGGCCAGTCGCATCAACCTTTGTCACTACACCGTCATTGGGCTTATGCGAATTATAAACAGAAGCCAGGTGACTAGCTTCAAACTCACCACATCCTTGTAGTTCCGTCGCTGTTTATTCGCGACTGTTTATCGGTTGCGGTATGCCACAACTTATTCACAGCTAACCTTCTTCAGTGAAGGTATCCCCCTTTACACAACCGGGGACGAGCCTGGTAGCATTCAGCTCTGCTTAACCCGAGGGTATCCAGTATCAGCGGCCTCTTGTTCTTTAACAATAGTATTCAATAGTGTTTACACCAGGTTTCCGTTATATATATCGTAATTAGTAGTATATCAATGACTGGACAAAATTTCTCGGGAATCACACGACTGAATATATATATATATATATATATCAAAGTCAATAACGGTGCCTTGCCATGTATCGTCCGTTGAGTGTGAGCTGACTGATTGATCAATCTAGTTCTGCTGAGGCTCTTCAGCTAATTAAACACTAAACTGAAACTCACAATGTCATGTACTCCATTATCGTTTCGATCGATCGCGTTTATTCTGCTAGTTCGTTGCTAGGACGTTGAAATCGCTCGCTCGGTCGCGAGAGAATTCAAATGTTGACTTATTTTTCTCTCCGTCGCTACAACATGCTGGACTTAATGATGGGTATGTGAGGTTAGTTTGATGATCAAACTACCACAGTTTGACCGATTGTGTCAAAACCTTTAGTTTACGTAAAATTTGAATCGCCTCTCTTAGTTGGCATTACTTCACTGAGTTATGTGACAGAGGCTTGAACGGAAAAATTGAGTCAACGGTGTTTTCAATTGTCGTGATCGCCTGTGCAATCGGCGACCTTAACACTCGCCTATCATATTGATCTGTGAGGTGGTACTACATCGTTTGGTCGCAACAAAGCAGTGAAACCTCGTTCAGACTTGATTGCGATGGAGAACGTTTTTCTCTGTTCAAATTGGTGCACGCACGATCGCAGATGGACTAATGAACAACATGTTAGGCGGTTTGTTTGGTGATTTGCGATTGTCCGGATAATTTTTTTCGGTTTCGAATAAACCTATGTAGCAGCGAATATTTGACCCAAAGCATCCCGGTGCTTATGACGCATTTCGCCTTAATAAACCAGTCTAAAGACCATGGTTTTCTTTCCTATATGATTGATGAACTGATGAGTTTTGCGTGCTATACACATCGATTTATTTCTCCGGTTGATTACTGTTCAATAGTGCCTTTTGTAAATAATCTTTTTGAAGCAAAACAACCGTTCTCGCAGGTTATTTGGACTCCAGCCATCTCTAGACTGATCGATTTTAACTACCACGGTCATTCCTACTCGTCTATGGTTCATTGCCTCTCCTAACAGGATCAGTTTGATGTGGTTCTGGAGGAGAACCAGTTGGCAGATGCATGTGAACATTTAGCAGAATACCTAGAAGCCTATTGGCGAGCAAGTCATCCCACCGGAGGGATCGGTAAAGCGGAACGTGTACTTGGCATTGNTTGGTGGTGGCCCGAATGCTGCCGGCGGTGTTCATCAGGCTGGTCCCGGTGAGCCCCTCGAGCCATCCTTGCCTGTACAACGACGTCAAAGTAGTGTGATTCAGTCCGCTCTAAAGCGATTCTCACGCGGGGAGCACGATCTATCGTTTGATCGGGACCAATATCCAAATCAACCTCAATCGCAACCACATCACCCGCAAGCCGTACACCAGTCGACCATCGGGTCACACCCCCGACCCACGCACTCACCATCCCGACGTCAGTGGTCAGACGAAAGTCGGGAAGATGCGGCCGATCCGTTACTCGATCGTGTGGATTACTCACGTCGTAGACCCGATCACCGTCGGGTCTATGGACCTCATGACTCGTGGGATGCTGATCCAGATCCACGAGGTATGGATCATCAATGGATCCAAAATGATCGTTACCCAGTAAGTCCCTCGTAATTTCCCCCCATAATCACCGATATTTCAACCACACTTGGTTTTCTTTAATCTATCGCTCTCAGAACACATCACATCGCACCGTACCGATTTAAGCCATCTTCCTGTCAGCGTGAGCGTGTTTTGTCATCTTTGACGCCGTATAACCCGCGGCAACGTTTTTCTAACCGCCTGGGTTTATATTGTTTTTATTAGTAACTGAAGTTCAATAATCGGTTCACAATGCTGTTACGGTATCCTTGTGAAATATTTACTAGGCCTGAAGGACACCATGAGAAAATCGGAGTAGGCTCTTGTATGCTCCGGCATGAGTCAAATGTAAAGTTAACTCGTTGATCGGTTAGGTGATGAGAAGGTTTTGGTTTCATCAATTCATCAGCTTCTTTATTTTTTAATTTTCTATTTTTCGTTATTTTCTATTAAAAGTTGATTGGTCGAAATTTCCTAATTAGGTCTCTTACTTTACTACAGTTCTATTGGCCATTGTATAACCCCCCCCCCACACACACACACACTTCCGCCCCGAAGTGGAGACAGCGGGGAATACGAAACTGCTGTCATGTCGTTTATGTGATGAACTAATTCAAAACAATAACAACAAAACTGAGGCGAGTGACGCTTTTTGGAGGAATAAGTGTAAATCTGGTGCATTCACGTTAGAACACAGAACAATACCCTAACACGTTCTGTGTCTTGGTAGAGCGTGATCGTGTAGTGCCCAAACTCTAGATGCACATATTCGACCTGTTTGTTCGGTGAAACCAACCTCTGCAGAGCTCAGTTTACCGGTATATTTGATGTTTTTAAGGTAGTGCACTCGATGACCGAAGGTACATATGTTCCAACGGAAGTTCTGTACAAGTAATAATTCCTCGAGTTAAACAGTTGTAGTACCTTCATTAAGCATAAATGTTAAGAAAACAATGTAGCGAACAAGGCTTGTTTTCGATAACTTTCTCCTCGGGCTATAAAGTTATATATACAGGTATTGACCAAACTCGTGCAACATCCTGATTTTCACCATATTTATTCCTCTCAATGCTTCGTTTTTCCAGCCTCATTCACGGGATTGAATATGATATTGTCACACATTAGACGCAACATATCCGATATAATACTCACTTATAATACTGCTTCTTTTAGCCACATGCCATTAAACTGTTCACTTTCGCGAGTTTGATGATAGTTGCCGGTGCATCAGTTGGGAGTGACAGTTATCAAAAACCTCCCTTATCAGCGCAAGAAATTTTGCTGTGTGTATTGACGTATGCAGAAGACCAGCAACAATGCGCTCAGTAATCACTTCCCTTCCGACTCGTTAAGTGGAGTAGATATTTAATTCTTTTGACAGGTAAAAAGAAATTCATTAGAAAACTGGCTCAATAGACCAGCTTTCACAGTATGATGAATTACTGGTTGGCCACCAATGAGATAAACCCATTACCAAATTTGTTGGTCAGATCAATACGCGCTATGCTTTGTTGGGCGTTCAATAACAGCTTTATATCACGTAGCCTCAGCTGCATTTTAAATTGAGCCGTCATTTTCCAAACGAAAGCGTGGGCGGAATGCGGCTAATCAGCCCGAACTATGCCCCAGTGTGATTGCGTGCAACTCTTCTCTGCTGCGATCAAATTTAACCATCATCTTACTTGGATATGGCCGGTTTTCTCCCTCTCGGTTTATGTTTCGATGGAGAAATTTCGTTGAATGTGCAACAAATTGGACTTATGTTCACATAGAAGCGCTTCGACAAGACACCAACTGAGCCATCCGATTTACGCGCCTCTCGTTTAAGTTGCCTCTTAGCTTCAATTATACGCCAAAACCTTTTTAAAGTTTCATCCGGTTTGGGCATGGTGACACTACGGGACGCTTATTCAACGAGCCGCAGACCTCATGGTCAACTTTCAAAGATCAACTTGTGTGTTTCTTGGATTACGTTTTCAGTTCTTCCGGTGTTGTAAATAATGCGTGAGTAGTTTGTAGCCAAGTAATTTATCAATTTATTTAAGCTACAATATTTTCATTAGTTTGCTTATTTACTGTGCGCTGAATGAAGAGGTTAGAAATTTAGAATACATGTGCTCAAATTATTAAAAACTATCATGGGACAGGATTCATCTTTTAAAAAGAATGAACTCCCATGCTGCTTTGTCTAAAATATTTTCCAAATCAGACCTGTAACTTTCGAACTACTACAAACTTTATCGTGACACAAGAGGGCAGACTTGCTGTTGTTATTGTTGTGTGGTTCGGAATTGTTCACAGTCGTTGGATAGAGTAAGCTGTTCTATTTCCTGTCTACATCAGCAGCGCAATACAGTGAAGCCAACTTCACTAATCGCGCCCCTGGGTCATGACAAAGGTCACGATCGTTTCGGTCGGCTGTGTCAAGCTGAGGTGAAGTGACTGAACGAATCGTTTTTAAGAACAAAGGAACGGATTGAGTAGGCGAATAGCCACTGCCTCGGCTGTAGTAAAGTGTCGCTGACAAACAATTTTTTGATGGGTTTGCTGGTAATTTGTAGATCACGCTGAATGCATCATCGTTTGCTTGATGCGCTGTAAGTAAAAGTAAACGGCCATCGCCCCGACAGACGAAATCTGTTTGTCGTGTCGGCCTAAGCCCCGACGGACTGCAGCCCAGATTCAGTCAAAGATGAATTTCACCGGATTCTACACGACCTCTTGCGTAAAGCGAGTCGGGCTGATACCGTGATTTCAGCAGGAGCTATGAGTGCTAGAATAGGTCGGCTGGCTTCAAGTGAGGTGCATCTGGGAGGTCCTTTCGGACTGGATTCCTGTCGCTCGGAAAACGGGGAACGGCTGTTGGTTCTTTGTTCCGACCACCGCCTGTTCCTCGCCAGTACGAACTTCAGACGNCCCTCCTTGAGTCAGAGACGGACGCAGATCGACCACATAGCTATAAGCTACAAATGGCGGGGTTGTATACAAGACCGCCGATCGTACATGGTGCACTTCCCTCGAATCCGACCACGGATTAGTATGCGCCAAGCTATCCATGTGCTTCGGTGGGCGTCCCAAACGTTCGACACAACGACGGTTAGACTGTGATAAGTTGTCTCAACCAGTACGCCTGTCTTTCAGAACGCGCTAGCTGAAAAGCTAGAACCTACCCCACCCAGTGACGTTAACCAGCACTGGTTGCTAATCAAGAATGCTCTGCATTCTGCTGACTAAGTTGGTTGTGGTCTGACACACCGTGCCGCGACACCCTGAATTCCTGCGGAATCTCTGCGCCTTCTCGACACACGCCGATCAATTCCGACCGGCAACGAGCATAGTGAAATACGAATCGTAACCTCAACACAAGCTTAGGCAGAGACCGCGAGATCTGGTGGTCTCAACACGCGTCAGAGATGGAACGTGCGGCCGCCATCGGAAACTCCCGTAAGCTATTCCATCTCATCCGGATCACCGGTGTGAGCCAAACGATCTGCGAAGCTGACGGTTCACCGATTCACGATCAACAGCGACGTCTTGCACGCTGGGCGGAGCAGTTCAAAGCACGGTTTAGCTGGCCATCAATGTC